GTCAACTTCATAGGCGCTATTGTGTGGAATTTATTGTCACCACGTCTCAGCATGATAAATTTAAATTTGTATAAGATGATCTTTTCATTAGCAAGGATCCAACGAAGTAACTGTACAAAGCTAATAAACCATAAAAATATGCAGGAACTAGAGACAATGGATCAGTGGGTTGCCTGAGACTTGTTTCCTGAGCAATGGAAGTTGGTTGCATCCACGATGACATAGTTAGTCAAACGGAGATATTTTTCATCTGAGAGTCTTTTCTCAACTTTTTTCCACCAATCATCAAAGAGCCCTTTGTATCTGAAAAATAATGCCTGGAGAGTAGAATGTCCTTACTGCACGGAAGCTAATATAATTCCAATAAATGTGCTTTAAGTTTTGATCCAAATGTACTTAACAGTACCAGTATCCTGGAATTTCTGATTGCACGCTCTATTTCTCGTTCAAAAAGGCCATGAAATCCAGACTGGCCTGTAGTTTTATCCAGGAATAATCTGAGTGAGGGCTCGGAACTTCGCTCAGACATGAGACTCCCATACTTCTGTGTGAGTGCTCGGAACTTTGGTCAGCGAAATTAAATGAATAAAATTAACTAGTCTCATCCCTTTTTTCACAGGATGGATGCAACATTGAAAGAATTAACAAGTCTGGTGAAGGAAGTGAATCCTGACGCTCGAAGGAAAGGAACAAAGTTTGAGTTTTCTACAGTTTATATGGAAAGAAATGGACGCCATAGGTTAGTTGAACAGTATTTATGAATACGTTATGCGCCACCGTAAAGCTATCAAATAGCTTCTGATATTTCAGTGGCGCCCATACCTTGCTCAGTAATTGCCTCATTCATTCTCGAATGGTTGTTTATAATCTTTCTCTTCTTTACTACCGAGTACTCAGAGATGAGTCTTCTTTACTTCTGAGTGAGTGTGTGTATTTTTCTTTGAGATTAGTCTCTTTTGCTTCTGAATGAGTGAACATAACTTTGCTGAGTGATAAGACTTCTTTACTTTGAATGCTCATATCTCAGAGATGAGTCTTCTTTTCTCTGAGTTAATGATTGTAACTTTGCTTAGAGATAAGTCTTCTTCACTTCTGAGTGAGTGCAAGTAACTTCGCTCAGACATGAGTCTTCTTTATTTCTGAGTGAGTGCAAGTAACTTTGCTTAGATATGAGTCTTCTTTACTTCTGAGTGATTGTACGTATGTTCAGAGTAATATTATTAAAAACAATTAAAAAAATACCCACCGTCTTCATTAAGGTTTTTTTTCAATTCAACGCAACTCCATCACACTGAAATGCCATTTTTGATTCCATTTCAATATTCTGTATCATGTAACATTGATTATTCTCAGTATGGTGAAAAATCATTAATTAAACAATGGAACGCTCAATATTTCTCCACTATATTTTTATAGGTACAAAGACATTGGTCGAACAATGGCAGGATTGAAGGGGCCAGATGACAACGTTACTTTACAGGTAATTTTATCCGCTCTATGGGAATGTCCGTCATATAACATTCCACACTGGCGAAATTCAACCCCCATTAAGAGGATTTTAAAATTGTTTCTTTATATAATGTTATATATATTTAAGGTGTCCCTAAGTCTTTTTTCAAATTGCAAAGAATTGGCCCTTACAGATGAATTAAATGAATCAAAAATTAATGATTTAAAAACAACAAAGCTTGTTAAGCTATATTAAGAACTGACTTCATGACAAAAATTAAAAGTACTTTATGGACACCCTGTATATTTCCCTTCAATTATTTTTGTCTGTTTTATGTATTTTTTATTTGAGATCTGGGAAAGTGAGCATGTCAGAGGCTGCGGTTTCCAATATAATTAAGGTTTTCAACTTTCCTCTACACAAGATATATATTCTATCCTATCTTCTCAAAGTTTCAATTTTTCATATTGTTGTTTAAGGACCAAAAATTCCAGATTGGGGATTTCATGGACATAGCAATTTCAATGCCACAGATGGGAAGAAGAGATTCATGGAGGTGAACACTGAAATTGGGAACACTCAAAATTGACGATATGTTGTCTGAAGAAAGCAATGACTTGGTTTTTAATTTGCCTCTTGACATTTTGGTCAACTGAGTCTACTTGGGCACGGAATACAGATTTTTTGAATACCATTTATTCAAAAAGTTTAATTTTGCTTATAAATTGAGTTTTTTCGGACAATGATAACTTAATTTAGGCATTTTATCCCTTTCATTAGATGGTTCAGATATCTATAGATAGCTGGAAACCAAAGTTATCATTTTTTGCTGCTTGAAATTTATAAATTTCTAACCTTGTTAGTAGACTACCCATATACAATTTAAGTCACACTCAATGCCTTACTATCATTTGGGGTTATGCGTGACTTCCTTTTCTTGCTCTACTCCTTTGCGCAAGTGGATTCTCGAAGATGAAAACTTTTTATTTTGGTGGTTTTACCTACTGCTTTTCGGAATTCAGTCTCATCAAGCAGTTCCAAAATTGTGCATTTTGAGTGAGTTGTGAGATATCAATTCACTTTATATCGGTCTGCTACAGGTCTACCAGCTTTCACATTGTAGTTCTGGGTTCAAAGTGATACTCTCTTTAATGCTGATCTAACAGTAGGCAATCCAATTATTTTGAATGAGTCTGTTATGTTTTTATGGTGCAGTTTTCAAATAAAATACATCTTGTCCCGAGTGTTTTTGAGGTTTTGTTGTTGTATTTTTTTTAGGAAAAACGGAGTTGGAACCTTGGTCCTAGAGCAGTGTTTTTCATCGTGGTACACCTTTTACAATTTTTTAAGAACTTTGTGTATCTTACAAATACCTATGTTAGTTTAAGGCCTAAATAAACATTAAATTTTAAGCACAACATCAATATCTAAATTTGACTGATGTCCGTAACGGGAATAATGTTCAACGTAAATCAAGCAACGCGCATGGCAACCAAAATCATCAACAACAGACAGACATGTGCCTGCATTACCTAGAAAAATTATGATGTAACAATGTGATCAAGTCGTTTTTTGGGGTAAATGACATTTTATTTTTCATGTGTGCCACATTTGCAATTGATTATTCTATTATTTAAATAAGATGCGTATACCTTTCATCAGTTGTACACCCTGCCTATTGTCCGGTATACACTTGGGTATACCGTATACCCAGTTGAAGAGCACTGTCCTAGATAGAGCACGTTTTCGCAGTGTGGTATTTTGTATTGATATTAAAGTCAAAAATTAGAGCCCTAATTTTTAACCAACAGGATAGGATTTACATGTATTTATCCCGGAGTAAGGAAAGCCAATAATACGACAACTTAATAACATGCCGAACCACGGCCCCTCGTCCAGTTACCAGTCCATGTCGGGTATGGGATTAGTTAGCCAGTTATTTGTTTTCGAATTTGAGCTCCTTGGTATATGTTTGAATTACAATTGCCCTCTCCGGATAGTCTGGAGTGGAGCATGTTGGCGGCATATTTCATCCCGCCATTCTCTGTGGATGGGGTGGGATTAGTCTATTCCATGTGGAAAACCTGTTCTTCCTAGCCCCAGCTTACAGTGTAAAGCAATTTATTATCTGGAATACCCGCCTTCCAGTCACGACAACACACATTAGTGCGACACACAATTTTTTAAAATGCTCCCAAAACTCGAGCCATGCAAGTAATAGGTTGATAGCTTGTCTTATAAACCTTCTATCCAATGCTTATAAATGTCAGAGATTGAATGAAACAATACAAGTACTGTATAGAGCAGGGGTTTCCCAAACCAGGGGCCGTGACCCCAAATTGGGTTGGAGTGATAATTAGATAGGGTCGCTGAGGTATGGTAGAAGATGGATGTACAAAAAACATCTAAGATTTGACAAAACATGTTAAATTAAGCAGTTTGTACCATGGCTTACTGTAAAACAGACCCATATGCATCGCTATATGCTTATGCTATAGTATAGAAAATGTAGGTGAATATTGTGACATCACTGTTTGGTTTTAGCGTATTTTACTTAATAATACCACCACATGACCAAACTCAGAAGTCCGATGGAAGAAGCTCTGAAGTTCCATGAAAAATATATATATTGACCTGGGGTCGCACTGGACACCTGAAAGTTGTAGGCTTGGGAACCCCTGGTATAGAGGAACGAGGGTGTTCAATATGGCCGTTATTATTTTAAGACCTGTCTAAGCACTCGTGAAGAGTAAACCATATTTTGGGTAAATGTCCTGATTTGGGGAAAAAATTTGGAGACGTGGCTCTCCTAAATCAGGACATTCGAAATAAGCCTTTAGAAATGTCTCAAAATCGAAACATTTACTCGGAATCAAGAGGATTTGTTCTCTTTGAGCGTGACCAAATCAGAGGATTTTTCTCAAAATATGGCTTATTCTCCATTATACATTGATGAGCAGTCTCAAAATCAGGGCACCCAATTAAGACTTTTTAATGATGCACTCAAAATCAGTCTGACCATACCAAGTTTATTTTTTTTCAACCAGTAGAAAATATATCGTTCACTAATAGAAAGATAATTGGACAATTTGCTGGGGGTGCCACAGGGGAACTGTAGCTTTGTTAAATAACAGCACACAAAGTTCCAATATCTAATTGTGGAGATTTCAAGTACATTACTTTATTCACAAACTCTTCGCGATCTAGAATTAGCATTTTGATCCCTAGCATGTAAATTATAGAATTGGTGGCAAGACTAAATCTCATTATTGGCTTGTGCAATTTCTCAGTCCATATCTGGGCAGGCATTCTAAACAATGTTTCATGTGGAGCCTCTAGATCAGGGGTGCACAACTCAAATGAGGATACGTGCCAATTTTTTTAAAATAATCTTGTCGGGTGCCACGCACAATTGTGGTATTGTAAATTAACTCCCGTAAAACAAACAAATTGCAATAACAATACATAATAACGAGTATCTTTTAATTAAAACAATTTAATATCCTGAAAAAAAAAAGGCTGATTTTGATATAAACGTGATATTTTAATGTATATCATAAATATTTTTTTTTACAAAAAGGTTCGCGTGCCACGTTTGAGCGTAAGGCGTGCCAAATTTGGCACGCGTGCCTCGTGTTGTGCACCCCTGCTCTAGATCCTTGAGGGCGTTGTATGCATACTGCTGCTGGTTTGTATTTCATATTCATCAATGCAGAGCAGTGGTGTGCAAACCGAGCCCACAAGCCAAATAGGCCCACAAAGGAAAATTATGTGGCCTATGGAGAAGTGCCAATTTTGTATGGTGTGCGGCTCGCGAAATAAATCTGGTACGTGGTTTCATCCAGCTATTTGTATGCTTCCCTTTTGTATTTAAGGTTGCACTGCCCCATATAGGGAGTAGCCACATTTTGAAAGGATCTTCCTGGTTTAACACTACCAACCAAATCATCGCAATATTGGTGAATGAGGCACTGGATTTGACCCTGAGAACTCTGCAATGACACAGTTGGCCCTATTGCTTCGACTGTTGCATATTGCTATGTTGTCAACTCTTCCTCATCACTGAAGTACGAATCTTTTTGAAATTTCATCTTTTTGGGATTCGTTACTGAACTTTGATGGTGGTATCCACTAAATTGCGCGCTTTCTTCTGCAATAACGTGACTCAAACTTTCAAAAGCTGAGCTTTCAAGATATATTTCATCATCGCTACTTTGATCATCATTGTCAAAACTTTTTTCTAATTTTTTTTTTTTTCTTGTAGTTGGCGGTTCAAATTTTTGTTTTGGGCGTTTCTTTTTCTGGGGAGGGGGTTGTCGATCTCCGAGCATGTTTTTAGGACATTTGTAGCTTAAATGAAACGCTTCACCACACTCATAACATCTACTTTTGTCTCGGTATTCTTTCCGGCTTATGAATTCTTTTGCTCGTCCATTATCTTTTGCTAAACTGCATTTTATCGTTCTACCAAATAACTGCTTGCCGTCAATTATTTTGGTTGCTTTGAAAGCGTCTTCTTGTTTTAAATAAAGAACAAAAGCAAGTCCTTTACTCTGTCGTGTTGTTTTATCACGAACAATCGTAACTTTCACAACTTTTCCCATTTTTCCGAATATTTGGTGAAGATCATTATTCGTGAGTTGATATGGTAAGTTACTCGCATAGACAGTACTTTTACTCGGAGCAAGACCACCGCTCATTTTGTTATTTTATAAATTTATCTATAAGTCTAAAAAAAAATGAAATAAACATTTTAAATAAAACTTTGTCGCATAACAAATAAAAAAGTGAACAACGCAACAACAAAAAAATTGAAAGACTTTCACAGATGCACATTATAAAGAAAAGTCAACAAATTCAGTTAGGCAAAGAGGTACAGCCTGCCAATCATATGTACGGTAGCCAAGCAAGTAATTGGTCTGGAGTCACACCGGCTTAGGATAATTATGGGAGGGGGCTTCCCGGGTGGCCTACCCAAACATCGAAGTTCATGGACATGGTTCATGAGTTAGGATTTCCAACATGTGGTCGGATTCATAGTTTAACATTTCCTGAGCTCTGTGTAGTTATTTTGACCTACTCAGACTTCAAATTTCAAAAAAAAAGTTTTGATTAAAGCCAAAATCTGACAATTCCAGAATAATTTTACAATCAGCTCAAGTAAAAGTTTTCTCTTCTATGCTCACAAAATAATAATTAATAAATATGTGAACCCTATCCTATAATACTGGCAGCTTTAGTCGTATTCAAACTGCTGAAAGGTATCTGTATAAAAACTGAGTATGATCAAGCCTTCTTATCTACTTTCTTCTCGACTGGAACAAATATTAAAATCCTGTCTTACAATTAAGCTTTCTTATCAGCTTTTCTCTATAAAAAACTTATCCTTTGAAAAATTGTGCCTTCTCCTCAACTTTCCCCTTTATTAACTTTTATTTTAAAGGTTCCTACCCTCAGTATCATCTTAGCTTTGGTGCACTGCCTGCAAATTTAATCATTGGTGTACTGCAGGCAGATGGGGGCTGGGAAACTCTTTTGGGGGTGCATGGAGGAGTGGGCCCCAGTTTGCCAAAATATGCTGATTTAGCATTTGTACCAGTCCATTGGGCTGAAAGCGCTTGGAGATTCACTTTTGGAGAGGGTTTGTACATTGAATCTGTGCTGACCACTAGTGGTGAATTAGCTCGGGATGGGTATGCTGAACCTGAGTTTATGTACAAACGGGGTGATGGCGTCCCAAACTTCCCGTCAGCTGGTCTAGGACGTATCGATAATCTGTGAGCTTCAGAAGGTGTGTTTTGAATTTCTACGAACGGACGATCTTTCCCCGTTGCTATGGGAGACTGTAGATATTTCGCTTCAGTGGCTAAGTAACTTTGTGGTTGATATCTCGTAACCAATGGCGACTGAGCTCGTGAACGACTAACACGTGGGGATGCCAACCCAGGGCTGCAATAAAGCTGTCGTGGAGTTGAAGGCCTGTGAGACGAATGACCAGAAACGTGAGCTTTTAATGCATGAGTGTATTTCTTTAAAATTGTTTTTTCATATTGCAACTTTTTTATCTCTTCATTCTGATTTTGACAATACTTTTCCGCTTTCTTTAACATGTCACTTTGAAGTTCAATTTTCTTTTTTAAATGTCCAATTAGCATAGTTCTGTGCTTTCCTTGAAAATTTAAAACTTCTATTTGTTTCTTTAAAGCTTTTTCCGGCGACATAAAAAATGTCTGAATGTTCATATCCAGTTTGTCATTTAAAGCTGCAACGTTGCATTTACGTTGACAAATAGCACACGGATCTGTTCCTTTTTCTTTGCAGCGATTGCAAAAAATATGGCTGCACGTCGTCAAGTAAAATGATACTCCCTTAGCAACATGTTGCCCGCAGAGATTACAATGAACCCACTCATCCATGATGAAATAAAAAATCGAAGATGACGAATAGCATTACATAGAGCTCTGAAAAATTATTCAAAATATATCAATTAAATAGGCAATGGAAGCTTTAGAAGAGTTTCTCACAGCTAGGTCCAGTCCTCAATAAAACTGAAAATATTACCAATAGAAAAGTTAAGGATGACCACTAACATAGTCATATACCGTAGGTCTCCTCATAGAGTTTAACACCACACTTAAAATATTTCTCAGATATTTGCAATTATGCAAAACAAAAATTAAGACCCAATATATTTGTGAGTGTTTGTCTAGCCTTGTTCAGTAAGCCCCGTTCAGAGCAAAAGTGTAAAACAACATAATAATTACCGGTATGTATAAAATAGAAAAAAATATACTCAAAATAAGTGCAATTGCAATTCAGATCTGTTATGAAGAGACATATATGAAAAACAAGATAATAGTGCATAAATACGCTGTAACTGTAATGATTTTAAAAGCAATAACAAGAAGGGTTTTCAATCGGCTATATAAATTACACCGTAGCCAATAGTTAAGTGAACCACAGTAGGTAAATAAACGTACTCCAGCAAACTTATGAGTCTGAGACTGGTTAACTTTTTCTGACATGGACTGATAACTGGATGAGAGGCCGGGTTTGCCGTTCCATCAATTTCGCTTCCCCAGGGTAAATCCTATTCACGATATAATAAATTCATCCATGCATCTGAAGGGGATAACTATTTCCATGCCCAAGATGAACTGATAACCAGACAAGGGACATAGTTCGCAATATAATTAGGCCGTCCTATAGATTTTACTCTCTCCTGGATAAGATTTACATATTTATCCGGGGGGAGAGGAAAGGCGTTAAGACGACTTAATCATATGGCGAACCGCGGACTCCCGTCCGGTTACAAGTCCATGTCGGATTATTTAGTTATTTGTTTTCGGAAGCATGGACTTGATGGTGGAGGAAGCCGTAACCGACCAGCGGTTACGTGAACCAGCCTACGGTGACGAGAAGTCCAGCAATCCTCTCGCACACAACTATCCCAACATGGGATTCTAACCAGCAAACCCACACAGAGTAAACAGCAGTCCAGTGGCGAGCGTGAACAAGAAAAGCCTATTTCAATTTTCCAATCTTCAATTTTCAAAGTATTATCAAATCTTTCCAAATCCAAGTCCACGTCTTTCTTTGGAATTACCTTGCGGTGTTATCGGCTCTGTTATTCCTTCACAGGTTTTTCCTAGGCATTGCCCTTTGCTCCAACCCATTTTATGAAGCATTTGAAAACCCTTGTTATTATCAGCTAACTCAGTATAAACAGAAGTTGGCATCTCATTTTTTTCATAAGGATTATCGCTACCCTTAGTCAGTCTCCTTTCCAAAGCTCTATCAATATATTTCACAGATGTGTCAGTAGTAGACTCTACATAACCTTCTTTGGGCAAATTAAATTTTTTCTTCAAGAATTCTAGTTCTGATCGTCTTATTACTTCTAAATTCCTTTTTGGGACAATTTCAGGCGAATTTATTGACTCGCTCTTTTCAATGATAGCTTGAACTAGTCCAGGTTCGCAATCAGGACATGTAGCATTGCCCAAATGCAAGTGTAATACAAGTACCGTATCTCCAATCAAAAGCACACTTTTGTGTGATACTGGTGAAGCAAAAACTGTTGTTAAACCAGGATTATTTTCGGTAATCGAATTTAAAGTCGTCCATACGTTACTTCCGTAATCTGTGACAAAATATTTCCTTTTTTCTTGATCGAACATCACAGCGCAATGTTTTTTATCCACTTTTTCATCAGGTATCCGAATATCGCAGTTTTCGCTCGATCCCAAAATGGCTCCAGGATAAGTAATCATGAATATAGTCCCAGGTTTTAGACTTTTCGATGCTGTTACCATAGCTCGAATACATGGTCTTGAACTCAATTTGGCTCTATTTCGTGAATAAGACCTTGTAACACTAGAGGGATTTTTCCCTCTGGTATTAGGCATAGAGGAACCTGTAGTATCATTACTTATTCCATTAGATATTGGGCTACTACTAACACCACCTTGTACATAAGATATCGATCCACTAGATGTTTTTGTGCCAGTAAAACTTTGTTTGTATGATATCGGGCCACTGGAGAGACTCGTTCTAGTGTTATTCCGTACATTTGACAATGGGACTTTACAGCTAGTGGCAGTAGTGCTAGCTGTGACAGTGTTACTTTGAGTATAAGATATCGAACCACTAGAGGCACTCACACTTTGTACATACAATATTGGGCCACTAGACATACTGACACCGTCATTCTTTTTTATGTAGGGTATTGAACCATTGGAGAGACTAACTTTGGAAAATGCATTGCAAAGAGAATCCCTGTAATCTATATTCCTGGATATTTTCTCGCTTTTTGAATTTTTGAAATCTTCTAGCTGATGTTGAAATTCATATTGTTGTGAAGTCGCATTGTATTTGTAATAACAACCGTTCTTATAATTGTAGAAAAGCTCAGTGTTGGGGTAATAGTAAAGATGGGTGTTGTAGTCAAAGTATATCCCGCGGTGATGATCGTAAGTCCATTGGGAAATATTTGATGCCGAGATGGTAGTTTTTTGGGTTGCTCTAGTATTTAAATTCTCCACAATGCTATTTGAATCTTTCTTGAGCTCTTGAAAATTAGATTTAATGTCTATAAAGTCAGTCTGGCAAGAGGCGTCAATAAATTTTGAAGAATCGTTACAGTTCTTTTCAATCTGCTTAAACTCGGCCAATTTTCTTTTTAACTTCCCATTTTCGATTTTTAATTTAGTAATTTTAGAACGGAATTTTACCAAATCTGTTACTTTGTTGAAATCGTCATCTGCTGAGATATCCTCATTATCCATTATAAATTCCTAATTGAAGTATGTGGTCGTTAACTATCATGAAATCTGTGAAATTATAACGTAAATAAAGGTTTACAAATTACCGGTATATGAGGGCACCAAAATAAATACTAAAATAACAATAATAATAAACACAATCGAATAATTTAGTAGTCTTGTTGCACACTACTGTACTAACACAAATGTACACTACTCTAATTCTGTAGACTGTACCGTACCGGTAACATTCAATAATTAAGATAAAAAATGGAATAAGTACCGGTACCAAAATCCAATTAATAGCATACCGGTACCGGTACCGTAAAATAACAAATTTACTTTCCTATATTTAATAAATTCAATGGCCGTACCGGATCACTTACCGTTACTGTACTGTACTTATTCAAAGGGGCTTGGTATCTTCACAAGCCACACTAGTATTTGTATAAAATTTATTGAAATTACAATATGCGCAGTATGGTACCGGTACAGGTACCGTAAATGTTGAATCTCGCATTTCATCCAATTTCAAGTCCATGCAACACAAAGCTGTTTTAACGGTTTACTCTCCCCCGGGATAAATGTATAAAATCCTATCCTGTCCTATAAAAGTGAGATCAAAAGTACCGGTATCGGAGTCTACTACCGGTAGTACCCTTTTTTGATGCAATATATTATATTGAATATAAATATGTAAAGAAAGCGAAATTGTAGTGAAATTTGCCTTGCAGACGAAAACATAAACAAGGATTTTTGCAAAGTTTTCCCATTCGGCAGAATGTGGTGTTTCCATACTTCAAGTATACGACAGGAACACTGAATAAAAGTAAATTCATATAGATTGAAATTTTCCGAAGTTGAGGTCATTCTCAGAGGTTGAGGTCCAGTTACGGTACCGGTAGCGTACCTAATATGGTGTCCAAATATACACTTTTAGATTTTAGTGAGAGCGTTTATTTTGGTTTTCCGTTACAACAAAGCCCGAAACCAAAAAGCAATACCGGTACAGGGCAAAACAAGCAATGTTAAATTTTTTTGTTGTGCGGTGTTGTTTTTCGGTATCATCGGTCTGCCGGTACGGTACAGTACCGGTATTGTGATTACGGTATGTTAGTCGTTGGATACCGGTATGCCGTATAGATTAACTTTCCTATGCTATGAAGTGGGTGTTATCTTAGTACCGTATTTATTTTATCTTTCAGTATTTTGTTTCGCCACCCTGCCACTAAAATAAGAGAAATTTTTTTTATTATCTTGAAATTGGAGAACTGTGCCCTACCGTACTATACCGGTACCGGTAGTCAGTTTTTATTTATTGATATATCGCATATCGGGACAATCATAAAATCAGGTTATGTTAATTTAAATTGCAATATGCGGGTGCTGCAAGTTCTTGTGTCTGACAATGAGTTTTACCGATCAAAGTTTGTTCTAGTCTGTTAATTATTCTTTAAAACTTATTTAATAAGATAACGTTATTCTGGCTTGCTACACTTTAAACGGAACAAACTACATAGACTTATTTATTTTCGGATATAGAGTCCTATTTCATAGCAAATGAACAGTATACATTATTCAGCATGGATAACCAGCATAGACGAGATCCGCAAGTAGCGGACGATTTATACAACCATGGACTAAATACGAACCATGCATCGTCACAAAATGGACAATCAAATTCCACGAGGCATGCTTCATGTAGCCAAATGGATATACCACGATTATCAACCTCTCTACCGCCGCCTTATGGCTTACACCATATTCCGCAGATGGCCTTTGACCCTGCTTTATATTCATCAATGCCAAGGACAATGTTGCCAACTTACCATCCAGAAATACTGAATCAATCCAGTTCCCAGCTGCCTATATCTAGTTCAAACCGGTTGAATCCACTTTTTCTTGTCAGCTCGAATGATAACAATAATTGCAACAGAGCTAGAGCGGCCTCACATTCCACTGTTCTTGAGGTAAGGATAGGATTTTTATTCCAGGGAGGGGAGGAAAGCCGGTAAGGAGGCTCAATTATAGCTCGGAAACCTTTAAATTTCAACAGTTTCTGAAATTACTAAAAAATGATAATTGTTCTTATCCGTAAAGAAGAGAACCATTTCATTGGTTTTAATATTTTTGTGTGTCTGACACTAAAATAACACAATACAAAATTGATTGGTAGTCAATAGCAAATATTAAATAAGTATTTACAGTATCTCACTTAAATCAGGGCTCAGTGAATATTTGCCATACTCAACAATTCAGCTTTCTTGGACCTTTGGGGGTACTAGCAGCCTTCGTTTCCTCAACTTCAAACATTAAATTTAAATGAAGTCTAGTATAATTCACTTTTTTCACAATCGGGTAGTAAGGGTCAGAAACCTGTTTTTAATCGTTCTATCTTATTTGAAATGTATTTGGAATATTGATTCAATTTTGGCCTTGACGAGCTCTCAGTTAAAATTGGCCATACCTAAATTGCTCTGATTTGTATTTATTATATTCAGATGCAGCAGAGCACTTCAGCTACAGCGGCACATCTACCTTTCTGTCCGATTCCGACATACTTACCAAACCCGTACTACGATCCTCACAAGTATCCAGATCCATCAACATGTCGCAGGAACTCAACTACATCAGCTTTTTCAAACCCCCACGGGACAACTGGGTCACATATTCCCCTGTACCCCCCGGGAACGAATTTCCATCTCCCATATGTAGCCCCACATTACGATTATATTCTGAACCGTCACCAACCACCGCCTTATGCTTCTTATAAAGGAATCTATCCGCAACCGCACTCAATTCAAACCCCAGTTAGACGGGATCGGTACAGTGTTGGAGGCCCGTTACCGACATCCGAGATTATTTCCAATGAAACTACAATAAGGTATTGAAAATTTTATGTTTTGAGAATAAAATATTATGTTTTTCGTGACTTGTTTTCACTCTGAATGAGATCATACACAAGCAGCTAAATATACATAGGATAGGATTTACATATTTATCCCAGGTGAGAGGAAAGTTGAGGACTTAAACATATGGGGAATACACAGCTATTTAGTTAGGTTTATGAAACACTTTATCACTCTCTATGTGGGTGAATTGTTCATGGGATATTTTACCTGCTATGATAACATAATTAGGTCTAGGCTTTAACTGCTACCCAATGGTTCTCAAACTTTCACGACCTATTGCCTCCTTCCAGAGACTCTCACGACTTGCTTTGTGGCCCCTTAAAAATGTTTTGTGGCTCCTAGGTTGGTCGAGGGCCCATTTCAAGCAACCCTGTGCTAGAACATTGTGCCGAATTTATTTTCTGTTATACTTTGCTACCATTCTACTACCAGCAAATTCACTTTAAAAAATTCAGGTTCAATAATCTTTCTATCTCATCTTTAGGCGACGTAACTCGATACCAACCACACTAGAAGTTGTTCAGGTATCGGACGGAAGTTCGGAAGATCCCGCAACGACGACGTCAGTTGATGAGGACGAAGATGACGAGGATGATGATGATGTGTTCGATTCTTCGACTCCTGTCACCGCCCCTCACAGTGCAACTGGTAAGAGTTCGGAACTAGAGCTAGGATCTGTGTTCGATTCTTCGACTCCTGTCACCGCCCCTCACAGTGCAACTGGTAAGAGTTCGGAACTAGAGCTAGGATCTGAAGCTCGACTCGAACTCGGGCCGGGTGGGCCTGAAATGTCAATCATTACGTTTGGGTCAGGCCGGGCTTCTCTATTGCTGACTTTTTTTAAAAATAAAATGTTTCAGCCGTATTTCGGCCACGAGAGACTGTGGTCTGCAAAAAAACAGAAGTTGCCTCATCAACACGACACATACTGTACTTAACTCTTGCAATGACAATTCAGACTCCTGAATAAAATATGAAATTCCGGATTTGCTCCGGGCTCTGGTCTGCAAATCCAGTTGATTAGTCGAGCTCAGGCTGGGTCGGGTTTAATACCCACGGGCCTGGGTCGGGCCGGGCTGGAATTTTTGGGCCCAATCTTACCTCTATTGGTAACGACCAAAAACTAACAAGTCACTGTTTCAGATCATGCCTGTGCAGTAGAGGTAAGATCGGGCCCAAAAATTCCGGCCCGACCCAGCTCGTGGGTATTACACCCGAGCCTGGCTAATTAACTGGATTTGCAGGCCCGAGCCCGAAACAAACCCGAAATTTCATATTTTATTTTGGAGTTCGTTGAATTGTCATTGCAAGCGTTTAGTACAGTATGTGTTTTCTAACAAGTATTCCTTAGTTTAGTATCCACACAAAATTTTAGTATATATTTTTATAAACAAATATTTATTTTAAAAAAGTCAGCGATAAAGAAGCCCGACCCAAACGTGACGATTGACCTTTCAGGCCCGACTCGGCCCGAATTTCGGGCTCGGGCTTCATATCTTAGCTCCACTGTGCAGTCACAGTTTGGCATGTGTCCACTAGATTTGTATTTTCAAATTCCCTGAAATTGAAGACGAGAATTTTGAAGTTTTGAGTCAAAAGTGTAGACTTTCAATGGTGATAAAATGAGTCAAAACTAAAATTAACCATTACCTAATTCAATTAAATTGAATAATTCTTATTATGAACATTACAACTGGTAAGAGTTGGGAATGAAAAATAAATAAATTTAAATTTTTTTATAATTTCAATTTCGTTATGAAGTCAGTTTCAAATATTTCCTAACCAGGTTTGTTGTTGAATCAATGATTGTTCAAGTATTTTTACCTCATTTAATATATTTGTGAGGGCCAAAACAATATATGGTATCGATAAATTCCCTCTGCAATTTTAAAAATTTATACGACTTTATGGACATATATTACAATCATATTAATTAAGTCCTATTCTTTTTCAAAAACAGTTGCCCTAAACAAGGCCATACATAAGCCGCTACGGATACGTAAAAATCTTGTTCAAGGTGACTTACAAAAAAACATAGAGCTCATAAATTTCTTAGTTACTTTTACGATAATGAAGAAAAATTATTTGACACGTGATTTGTGTATGATTGTACCAGAAAGTTTCAGCAGAATGCTTTGCACAAAAATGATGTTTTCTTTAGAACAGCGTTTCTGAATCGATGGGGCACACCCCACGAGGGGACGTGGGGCTTGACAAATTGACGTGTGTGCGAGACAAATTCTGAAAAGGGGGTGCATCTTAGAGGGTTTGAGAACCGCTGCTCTAGAACAGGGCACTCAACTGGCGGACAGCGGTCCGAATACGGACCTTTCAACCATTCAATATGGACTGTATAAGCAGCATAAGCATTGTTTTATATTCTTTGATGATTTTGATACTATTAGCATACGGCTTTACAGTTAGTCGTATTGTTACAGATTTGCGACATTTGTTTCCATATTTGTGAGCCATTCATTGCTCTTGTATTTAATTTAATAATGTATATGTTTATTTAATGGGATAAATTTTCTGAAATGTGCGGACCCCAGTAATTTTGAAGCTTTGTAAACGGACCTTTAGTGAAAATAGTTGAGTTCCTGCTCTAAAATATGTTCCAAATGATCTGGGTGCTGTTCTGTTTTTTGGCATTTTCAAAAGGTTGGGGAAAAAACAAGGCCGTTCTACATTTTTATTACCGGTAATCAGAAAAATACAGTAAAGGGAAATATATCAATGTTAAATAAATTATTATTTCAGACCCAGCGTCTTACCTGGAACAACTACGAGAGTCGAGAAAACGAGCATTGAGTGGAGGCAATATGATGTCACAATCAAAATACCTATGTCAAGATAATTCCAATCTCTACCCTAGAGCAAGATTCCGCGGACGCTTAACGCGGGTGGAATACGACCCGAATGCTTCTGACGAACAGAAAACTCGCCTTTTTAATCGAGAGAGTGCTTTTGCAAAACCTATACAAATGGAGACTGACATTCCTGGAACGTCTGCTATGCAAATACCTAAAGTTCAAATTCTCGTTGATGACCAAGAAAGAAGCAATGATGCCAAAGCTGGGAATACTAGCGGGAAAGTAATAAAAGGTAGGTCTTGGGTGTAGAGGCAATTATTGAAGAAAAGGGGAATTAAGTAAAAGTAATGTTTGTACACACTATTCTGAATTCAGTTCCTTTAACTTCCTCGATAGTTGTTTGACAATTTTTAACGACTGCGATTGAGTTGAGATACTAGTACGTTATTATTTGAGTAAAATAGGAAGTCTGGAGTCCAGAGTCTCCTTCTCATTGAAGTAGTCTCCTCAAAGTTCGGCCCCGAAGTCAACATTTCCAACAAAAGGGAGTCACCAAGAGGTTTATATATCTACCTGGGCCCACAGCCCTGATGTATACTGCTTATAACTTGTTTAAAAAATGAAATTTGAACGAAATTAACTTCAGGTTGGGGAAATTTTTTTTCAGCTCCGAGCTCTGATAAGATTTAATGTTAATATCATACACTTGTGAGCATGCATGATTTTTTTGTCTGTCGGGTATGCTTTGCCAATGTAAATTTTGAGTTAAATTTTCATCGTTTAGATTTCAACTCCAGGCTCTAGGAATTCAAAATATCAAAACTTGATGCGAACATGAATTCACATTTTTCAGATTCTAAATCAGAAGACGCGAGTCTATCCGTGTCGAAATCTTCAATTCCTGATAAATCGACACACTCTCTTCGAGTCATATCTGCAGCCCCAAGAACTCTCACCCCCAGCCCGTCCATTTTAAAAAAATCCAAAATACGACTGAACCGGAACAATCATGTGACTTCCTCTTCCGGTGACAAAGGTGAAAGTTCATCTGAAACAGTACGACAAAAAACTTTCCGGCCTAAAAAGCAAGTCGCATGGAAAGATGATCTGAAGCCTACAAAAAAAGACATTTGTGATGAAATAATAACTCCAATGAAGCATGACCTACTTTCAGAACAAAATTTATTAAAAATTAAAAAGAACCCGAGTGTCTTTACATGCAAAAACAGAATTGGGCCGTATGTTTTTGGCCCGTTGTTTGGTGCCTCCCCGGTCCGCAGTATTTCACAATATTTAGTTCGCAAAGAAAACACGTTCAAGTACTACATGGCGAAAGTTTTGAATATGGGGGGAAATTCTGTCGATGATAGAAGTGGACGAATGTTACTTTATTCCGAATACTCCTTGTTAACTTTACTGAAAAATCATCCAGGTGTCATCAGAGAGCACGGGTTCCATAAAGACATGACTTTTGACCCCAAAACCGGCCGAGTACAAGAACGTCTTTGTCTTATTCTTGATTGTTTGTCTCCTCACGAATTTGACGAGTCCACCATAGATTGTTTGAACCTGCAACAACATGTCATAAAAGTTAAACGCTTGAGTGAACGCGAAACAATAAGGATTTTTACCTCTATTGTCGAAGTTATGCATTCGCTACATCAAATGAACGTTGTTCACAGGTAAGGATTTTTTTTTTATTTCAACTCCTCACCCCCCTGATTGTAAGTTCGATTTTGTCATAAATTTGTCCAGCGGCGAAGTTAAGGTCAACTAGCATTTTATTTGGCTAACTTACTACTTTTCCTTGCTGTATGACTTTGTGCAAGTGGAATTTTCATAGGTTTCGCTGCTTGATGGATGACCAATACTGGTTAATTGCATTTCCCCGCAAAATCATTAGCCGACCGAGGAAGTTCACGTTCAATAAGGATGTTGAAATAAATTTCTGGGGAGACTGGACCACAGTAATTTTTAAGTTTTGTAGACTGATCTTTGATGAAAATAGTTGAGAAGCCTTTTTATGAATAATAATTTCAGATGTTTGATTCAATATGTATATCAATGGTATTAGTTTTTTTCTGTATTAATCCAGTGTTCACTTTTTATATTACCAGAGATCTCAAACTTGGGAACATGGTATTTCTTCGGAAATCTCACAAAGTTATTCTGACTAATTTTTGTCTTGGGCGGCATCTCATGTCAGATGGTGAACTACTCAAAGACCAGCGAGGGAGCCCGGCTTATATCAGCCCAGATGTTCTCAGTGGTAAGATAAATTGTTTATCCCTGGACTGTTACTGCTTGTCTACCCTGTTTGCCGGTTATTCCCTTAACTGTTGTTGCCATGGTTTCCATGCTTGCCGAATATTCCCCAGGACTGTTGTCACCATAGTTACCCTGCTTGTTGGTAAATCCCTGGACTGTTGTTACCATGGTTACCCTGCTTGTGGGTTTTTTTTTTCCTGGACTGTTGTTGGCATGGTTACGCTGCTTGTCGTTCTCCGAGTTGCTCTTCTTGTGAAATGACAATGCTGGAAATATCAGGTTCACCTAAACCAGTGGTTCTCAAACTTTTCAAGTCGCGCCCCCTTTTTAGAACTGGTTGAGTTTCGCTACCCACCTCAAAAATATCTAACCAACAATAAGCTACAAAAATCAGATTACAAGGCAAAAGTAAGTTTTATTCGAAAAACACGTTGAAAGTACAAATAATGAAAGAAATTAAAAGTTTTGAAAACAAGCAAACTTTGTTGTTATTTTTATTAGTGCAGTTGTTTTTAGCTGACAAAAGGTTTTGGGGAGGATAATACACATCGTAAATCGCTTTCACAGTTAAGATTCACAAAATAGGGCGGATAAGATCAAATCTAACAAATATTTGTTTGAGTTGAGACTGTTTGAGAACCCTTGTTTTATACTTATATTTGATTTATTTTTTCAGGCAAGCCATATGCAGGAAAGCCGAGTGATATGTGGTCACTAGGTGTCGTTTTGTTCATGATGTTGTACGGACAATTCCCATTCTACGACCAGGAACCCCCCAAGTTGTTCAAGAAGATTAAAAAAGCAGATTTTGTCATCCCAAGGTAGGATTGGATTTTTGTATTAAACGGGGGAAGCAAAGAAGATAGAAGGCCTGGTCCTATGGCAGGCATGGGTAATTACTTTTCTGAGTGAGCCAGCTACAGGCAATCAATGTTCCCTCTAATTTTTTGTAGTATGTGTCCGCAGAAAATTTGGTGTGTGCGCACTTTTTTGGAAATGACTAATATTTGTGCAAAAAACAATGAAGAAATTTTGGCGTTCTAACCGGGTAATAAGTGGGCCAACAACAAACTTTCTCAACCTGCCAACCGAGCACATTATTACATTACATCGAAATATGTCTGTGCGCAGTAAATCCATGCATGTGCGCAGCCTCTGAAAGCTGTGTGCGCGCGCACACTTTTTGGTTACTGCGCCAGAGGCACAAAACTCAATATGAAAAACTATGAACTAAAATAATTTTTCCAACAGCTAGACAAAACTTTATATAATAATAAGGAGTAAAAAGTGACAATCAGGACATTATGACGTTATTCCATCAGAAATTTATATCTCTTCACACCTTGTCAAAAATTGTCTATGCCCCCCTTCCAACACACTCCACCCTTTCCCCAGGTGTGGGTTGCACCCCATAATTTCCAGCACACCAGTGGGCCAGATAAAAAACTTCAATTGGCTGAATCCGGCCTGTGGGTCATAATTCACCCATCTCTGTCTTATGACATTTGGTCACTGGTCCATGTCGGGTATAGAGAAAAATGTAACCTAAAAGAGTCTGTACTTAAATTTGGTTGTGACAGAAAGAATAACTTTTTGCTCACAATTGAAGGTTGAATAGGGTTTTTATATTAACCTAGGAGGAGAGCAAGAGGCTGATATAGTGTTTCATAATATGTCGAACCACAAACTCTTGTCTGGTCGATAGCTCACGTTACTGAATCTTTCAACATAGCCTTTGTGCTGATGGAGACATGTGCACATTGGGATATAGTTACTATTGATCAGTGAGATATGCTTGTCACTTGTCAGACGAGACTATACAGAAGTACATTTCATGTTGGTGTGTATGTGTACAATATTTAACTGAAACCTCCACGTTCTAGCAATCCCCACACGACTTCTCAAATTAACGACATTATCCGAGGATTATTGACCCTTGACCCAACTCAGCGATTGACGGCAAGCGAAACGTTGGTAGCGTTGAAACAATGTGCCTGGGCATGGAGTGACGCCCGGTACTCTACCATTGATGCTCAGGTAGTTCCTGACGTGGATAACGTGGAGTCGGAAGACGATGATAAACAGAAAAAAGTAGGTTAAATTAACTTTTTTTTAATTATAAAAAGAAGATTACAGTTAAAATTCGAGGGCTTTAACGCAAACTGTCGAAACTTGAACAAAATGTGCACAAAGGAGAGCAAAATTTTTTGAACTTTCGTAACTTTTCATTGATCATATGGCCAACCATGTCTTCTCGTCCAGTTACCAGTCCATGTCAGATATGGGATTATTTGGCCAGTTATTTGTTTGTGAAAGCATGGTGGGGAAATCTGTAACCGACCAGAGGTTACGGAAACCGTCTTGCGGCGGCGAGGAGTCCAGCAATCCTCTCGCACATAACTATCTCCACATGGGATCCAAACCTTGCAAACTGGAGCAGGGTAGTCAGAGGCATGGTGGCAAGCGTATTCCTAATAGCTCTGTTTGGAGGGAATATTTCTTTTTACAAGGAGGAAGTGTTTCACTATATAAGCTTCCTCTCCTCGCATTTTTCTGTAGGATGAAGAAGATGAAAAATATGAAGAAGCCAAATTGACAGAAGAATTCAGACTAAAAATGCTGAGTTATGAGGAGAATGACTCAACAGAAAACAGGAATGAAGGTTCGATTTTGAAGTACTCCTATATTCATGTTTATGGCATCAGGCAAATGGCCTTTTTATGGGACTTTTTTGCATGAATAAGGCTTTAGACAAGCAGATATTGCTTCAAGCACATTGTTCTCAATGTTAATGAGTTAATGTTGTCACAAGGCGGTCACGATGACATCAATTCAAATACTGCACTTCCAATTTTTTGAATTGATTAATTTTCAATAAATATTGTTCAATGAAACTGATTCATTTTCAGAAGATAATGAGAGCCACATAAAGTATAGTATAGACAAGAGCCGCGGTTGAGAATCACTGGTTTAACTACAACTTCAACCACTAGGTGGCCATACCCATTTCTTGTTAAAAGTGACGATTTTAACCAATTTTTCAGAATTAAAATTGAATTTTTTTTTTTCAGGTTTTGGACGCAGGACATATCAATCAACATTGCCAACAATCCAGCATTGCCCTTACGACGCTCGCCCTTTAACGGAGAATGAGATTGCGTTACATCGACAGTTACTTGTAAATTCAACACTTGGTGTCAGGGTGCAAGGAACTACGTAATAAAATAAGCAGGAAAAGAAATATTATTTTGTCGATCAGAATAAAATGTTGCCCTGATGATATAAAAAGGGGGAAGCTATCATTCTTTGGTTGATCATAATCATTTCCGGGGCTCCCGCAGTATGCGAACCAAGATGGCGAACATCGGAATGTAATATGTGTACTAGGTTTAGCGTTAGGCCATAATTTTAGATAAAAATACTACGGAAGGCTCTTGGCTAGTCTTCGAACTGATAATAGGACTAAAATAAGGAAAATTGGAAAAAAATTATCGCCTAACCCTAACCTGTTACCCATGTTACGTTCCGATGTCCGCCATCTTGGTTCGCATACTTGGGAGCACCTCATTTCCTTGTCGATCATTTTATTTACACTCTTGGTGGGGAGTTAGGAATAGGGTTTGAGTTTAATCTGTGCTTAATAGAAACTTTGACTATTAGGCGGAAGGCTCATCACTGACATGAGCAAACCACGGCCCAGCGGGCCAAATCGGGCTTGTTGGGTATTTCAATCTGTCCCACCTGATGCTGCCCTAAAATTAAATTATGATGTTTTAGCTAAAAAATAGCTTAAAGAATTTGTTGAGATTGCGATTAGATATAGATCTAGCACAAGGCTTCTTATTTTCCATTTTTGCTTTTGTAACACTGTAAATATTGTTTATAAAATGTAACTAGGTTGGCAAAATTGTCGGTCCCTGGTCCAATAACCGTGCCCACCACTGGCTTAGCATCATTCACCAGCTGGCTGGTATAACAGCATTTTTTCTTCTTATTTTTTTTCCGTATTTCTGTTGCTGAATGTTGTTCCATTTGTTATGTTGCACTTTTTATAGATTTTTGTATTTTCATTTTTGAACTGCAATTTTTAGAAGGTGTTTATCATATCTGAACATGGCTCTGAACTACTTAAGTGTCATGGAAATTCATTGTTGCAAAATGTTACTGTTGCTTATGTATAAAGTTTGGTACTCCCAAAGTATGTGAACCAAGATGGCGGACACCGGAACGTAGTATGTGTACCAGGTTAGGGTTAGGCCATAGTTTTAGGTACAAATACTACGGGAGTCACTTGGCTAGTCCCCAAATTCGTAATAGAATTAAAATAAGGACAATTGGTATAAAATTATGTCCTAACCTTTACTGGGTACACGTACTACATTCCAGTGTCATCTTGGTTCACAGACTAAGGTGTGTGCTCATTCTTAATTCATCAACTTTTCGTCCTTTTATAATTTAGTGTAAAATGAACTTGATTTGCGTCTGTACAGCAAACTCTCTTCCTTTTGGCGAAAATTTTGTTTTGCTGGGCTTATTTTATGAATATTGTAATGAACAGTTTCTTCTGACCTACCCAGACTTAACGACTGAAAAAATTTACCATCGCCAATCTTGATTGGCTGTGAGCTCTCGCCCACCTAACGCTCAGTGCACCTACTGAAAAACTTTTCAAAACGAACTTCAGTTATGGGAACCTCTTTTTTTCCTAATTGTGTAAACCTAAGATGTCTCCCTGTCATTCAGGAGTTATTAACACACATTTCTACGCTACAATTCGTAAATCTCAGTGGTTCATGGCGTTTTGCCTTGCTCTAGCTTTGCTCGGTTCCATTTTTATTTTGGTGTGGATGCACATGATCTTGCTTCGAGCAAATCTCCCTAAAAAAGTTTTATGAAATTGGAAAAAATTGGGTGCTCCCGAAGTATGCGAACCAAGATGGCGGACATCGGAACGTAACATGGGTAACAGGTTAGGGTTAGGCGATAATTTTTTCCAATTTTCCTTATTTTAGTCCCATTATCAGTTAAAAGACTATCCAAGAGCCTCCCGTAGTATTTATACCTAAAATTATGGCCTAACCCTAACCTAGTACACATATTACATTCCGATGTCCGCCATCTTGGTTCGCATACTTCGGGAGCCCCAAAAATTGTTTTGGCAGAATAATCTCAGCCTGAGCAAAGTAAAACAGTGCTGCCAGTCATGCTTCGTTCATTATATTGTTTAAATCATTATTAACCATATCAGTCCATGAGTTTATATTTTGCCATTTGTCATCAACACCATGCTCCTGTTCTTACAAGGGACCACAGATGCCTTTGGTAAGTTTTGACTCGAACAGTATATACTATCACATAAGGCATCGCTTTTGCAATTCTTTTCTTCTGTGGTTTCTCGTAACGTGTCTCTTTTTCTTTTGGGTTTTTTTTGTCCTTAACCGCAGCCGCGTGTGTTATCCGGTCACCAGTCTGTGTCAGGTATGAGATTAGTTAACCAGTCATTTGTATCAGATGCATGATCTTGGTCATGAAAAAAGCTGTAAGCCGCACAGGGTAATCGAATGTGAGATGGCAAGCATATACCCAACATGATTACCTTTGACATAAGCGTATGGACTCGTCTCTCCGCCAGTCAACAAAGCAGCCGTTTCTCAAGCTGTAGTGTAGTGTGTCGTGAGAGATTCTCGGGTGTGCCGCGGATCTATTGGCAAGAAAATAAGCTATTCGTGTTACACATGGGCATGCATGCAACGGACAAGCTCGTGAAACAGATCAGCGGTTTCCAAACATTTTGTCCCTGCGGTGCCAAACTATCAGGAAACTCCAGCCGCAGTTATACGAAAAAAAGGCTGATTTTAAATAAAACTCAATTTTGTCATCATTAATGTGTAATTTATGCCATTTGAAGTTTGTCAACATACAGTCCTAAAGCTGGGGTGCTCAACCTGCGCCAGTCGAGGGTAAAATGTGCTGATGTTTGTTTTACAGCAATGTAAGTATATGTTGGCGCTTGACTATTACGGAAAATCATTGTGTCGTTAACGTAATAGAAGTTATCAATGTTATAAAGAGTAACACATTTGTAAACATCCATTCATAAAGCGGAAAAAAAGTCTGCCAAATTTCCTGCAATTTCACATCATTACAAATGCCAGAATCAGAAATTCCCATTCAACACTTTCTGAAACATGATAGCAACGACCGCTACTCGTTGAAAGAGCCAGTTTTCTCGTTGGATAATGATTTTTTCATATGGCGCAAAATATTCAGGCTACGGCCTCTACGAGCATTCAAAATATCATGCTATACAGGGCCGGATTTACCAATAGACCAGGCAGGCTACGACGTCAAGGGGCCTCGAAGTTCGGTTTCGAAATTTGTAATTCTTTTAAAAACTTGACAAGTTTAAACCCTACCTATAGTTAGGCTTACCATACGTCCCGCCGCCCCGATACCGTAAGTCAGCCAAAAGTCCCGTTTTTTCTGCATAATACACAAACATGTTCTCGTTACTGTTGTTTCTTTGTAGCGCAGCGCTAGCCTACTTACTGAAGGCGAATGCTTTCGTTTCCCGCTGATTCCCATTGATGGCAGACGTATCGCATGTAAAACCAATACTAATTAGTCTAAATTCGAATTATTTGTACCGGTGTCGTCAACGTCAATTCCTTCCTATTTTTCGAACTGAACCCGATATTTTGACAGAGAATATGCACATGAAATTACGATAACAATATGGTCAATAACGACAGCCGAGGAAACTTTAATTAAATGTAGGCCTATGTAATAGAATTGGAAAATGGGAAGTTATAAAATCACAGCTAAGGGGTCGTTGTCTTTCGAGGCGTCCGATTTGAAGTCACAAAAATATGGTAACCCTACCTATAGTATATATATATGAAGCTTTTCAGAGTAGAAAATTCTATACACAACTGGTTTCAACCACGTTGCAAACAGCCATTATTACGTCGTTTGCATCATAATAAAGGCAATTATTATGCACATTCTGCTGGAAGCTCCTATCCATGTTGGAGTACCGTAGTCTACTCTGCAAAAAACAGTATCGGTAGTTGATATGTTGCTGAAATAAATAACTGATTAATGTTCTCTACTTATCTTATTTTTAGACGTCTTGGTATTGCTAACCTGCGTTTAGATCAAGCAATAATCTCATTTCATAATTTTTCGAACCTCAAATTTATTACGAGTGAAAGATTTGAAAGTGGAGCTAGCAAGCGCAAGAGAAAGGAAATTAGAAATTAAAAGCAAAACTGCCTTGAGTAAATTTTTATTCTTCTTTTAATTAAAATTTGCACTCATGAATGGGAGAATGAAAAGAACGAAGAGTTTAATGCACTAATATTTTTAACATTAAGCAATGACATGTGATGTTGTTTAGAGAGAAATTCTGAGCTCAAATCCGGCCCTGATGCTATATTAATACCACAGCGTTCGACGAAACAAGGGATTCCATCGACCTATGACAAAATGAAAGCATTATTTCTAGAGTAAAATATCACGATAATATGCGAACATTGGAATACTTGCTAAACCTGTCCGATAATATTTAGCTTTGATTCGAATGTCTGCAATCTTGCAATTTCATTGTCGCTATTATAAAAATTCCAAGAGCTTAGATAAAATCCCAAAGCGTACATTTCATTTTATTACGATATAGAATTGATTGAACATACTTTACATTAATTAGCTTGTATACCATCATAATCTGAGTCGAGTGCAACCCCGACTGAAATTTAAGAATGGGTGAGAAGATACATCCCAGGCACAAATAATTGTTTCGATTTCAGCACTTATTATATAGTTTCCAATTCAGGATAATGGCCAAGTTACAATGTCTAAAATGGCGTTTTTTTTTATCTGTCACGGAATATCAAAGTAAAAGTTTTCCGTTCATGTTGTTAATATTTAATACCATCATTTTTCAGACTTATTTTTAGTTGCAGATTCACCCTTCCAAATATATTTGGCGTCTCGTTGCCGATTATCGCAAAATAACGAGTTTTACACACCAGAAGCACAGCCCGGCTGATACCACGTCTCTGTGACACAAAACATACGTCTGCTTCGGCGCTAGAATTTGTAGTAATCACGAGATATGGAAAATTGAATGCATGAAAAGTAATAAATGCTAGTAAAAGTTTCTGCAATTATAATGTGACTAACAAAGTAAAATATGTTGCGCTGTTAACAATCTCTTGGGCCTTAAAGTAATTTCCAGCGAATATTAATGTCGACCCTCAATCGTCCTCTTCTTTTCCGACTGTAGATTCAAGTATCTCTTATTTGTTAAACTTATTTGATAAAAATATTTGGTCATCCTCAAAAACTTTCGTTTTTGTTTGAATTTTACCATTTCATAAACACAATTTTACACACATTTTAGACACATGTCAAAGAGATATATATCAATAAAAACCAATTCTTACAGTACGATATGTATAGAGTAATTAATGTACTGTACAGTATAATGTTCCGACTTACACTGAAATTCGAGTTAGACCGCTTCTCAAGAACGGAACAACGTCGTAGGTCGAGGACTCCCTGTAATTAGTTTTCATAAATAAGAAAAGAAAGTAAAGTCGATGAGATATTCATAATAAATACAACAATGTAGAATACTTAATCATATTTTAGTTATGTTTAACGCAATTCTTAATTTTCGGGCGCATTTAGGAACTTAACGCACCTTTCGATAACCGCTGCATTAGATACTATTATTGCATTTGCCTTGTCGATGTAGTAAGAGTGATTGTTATGTTATAATTGGATTTTTATGTTTCAATGTATTTGTAAACAAGACGTCCACCGTTCGCCACCTTAATCTGCGCGCTTAGCGTAATGAATGAGAAATGTAGTACCTTGATATAAGGCTTTATTCAACTTAAATCTAAAGCACACTTAGAATGGATCTAAAGTAAAATATAACACAAGTAAATGTTACATGAAAACACATACGCAGCGAATTGCTTATGCAGTGAGCAGACTGTCAGACAAAATCACTGCACGCAAAGTTACACTGCACGCAGTACATGTCGTAGTAATTAGTCCTTCACGTATAACAGTGGGAATTTTACAGTCGTTTTTGTGTCTCGAGGACATGACATTGTAACTGCTATCCTACTTTTTTTCTGTAAATAAAAACATAACATCTATAAAGACACAACAATACAAATACTGTTATCCTACTTGGGATTTAATCGGAACAATAGTAGGCTAATTTTCGTGTCCTGTGACTCAAGTTTAGTTTTAATTTACGACTCAAAGTAAAACAATTCTTAGTGAAAACACACACAACTATTAGTTAACCCATTATGTTATATCCTAGAAGCTCTTCTGATAAGTGTTTTCAACATTTTCACATCTGTATGCTATCGTTCCGTTTTTTGTCTACTGAAAGAAAAATTTAACCATGATTATTGAGTGGCACCAGTTAAAATGAATTGGAACCCAGGGTCCACAGACTTTTATGCTTTATTGTTATTCAATAAACGCCTGTCAACTGCCCCAGCATAATATATTGCTTCTATGTATGGTGTCGAAATAAAGAGATGCAAGAACAATATCGTACCACAGAAATCACGGCACATATCGGCTAAAGAGAGATATATATAAATTTAGCCACACAGTTATCTGAGACTATCAAAATAACTTCTCCAGGTGCGACACTAGTGTATCATAGTTAGGGTTGAAGCTACCATTTGTGGTGGATATAAATGATTAAATCACAAACTTTATATAAGAACCGGGTCTCGTGTAGTGTCGTACCTCAAGTATAATGGGCGTAGCATAACAATTTTTGCATATGTCAATCCTAATGCTCACCTGACTTCGTCATACAAAAATTACGTCACTGCGAAGAACCTACCAGAAAACTATACTAG